ACGACACATTTCTCATCCGCAACTTGAGTGAACAATCCCAGACAGGCAGAAGTAGACTTGTTGAGGACCCGCCGGGTCTCGAACTCTGGGATCTCCCTGTCAACGATCCTGCAGAGGAAATGATGTTGCCACGGAGCCCTCACAGCCGGTTTTTTATATTCAAAACACCGTATCCTTCTCTCCGGAGTCGTCTCAGCGCATAGTTCACATTCACCTCGTGGTCGGGACTTGAGTGAGCAATCCCAAGGAGACATAGAGGAGGAGGAGACTGAGAAGGATGAGGGGGGCTGTCGCCGTGCAGATGGCAGATAGCGTACGTTTGCTCGCGTGGCGGAGGCGGAGGCGCGTCGCGTCCGCGCGACGGCGGCGGCGGCGGCGCGTCTTCAAAGCTCGCAGTCCGGAGTCAGTAGATTGTGGCCGCTATCTGTCCGCGTCAAACGCCGCGCGCATCGCCGACGCGCTTTGCGTCAGGGGCGGGGCGGGGCGGGCGTGGCGGGGACGGCTCGGCTCGGCGGGCCGTTTAATTGTGCGTCCCGCGCGATAACCCCGGCGAGTGGGCGGGCGTGGAGGAGGGGAACGCGCGCGCAGGTCGCCGCCGCGCGAAGCGACCGCCTTCCGCGAAGCGCGCGTTTGCCTTCCGCGAACGCCCGCGGCGGCAGAACGTTTGCGCGCCGGAAGGGGGGCGGCTGTGGGGAGGCTCACGGGGAGAGGGGGGCCGAAGGGGACAGGGTGGCCAATGAAAGCCTCTGATTCGGCAATCTCTGGATTGGAATTGTTCGATTAAACTTGGATTTATTTAACCACGCGTAATAAGGCGGACTATTTCGCTCGCAGTTGTTCGATAGCGAACGACCGATGTTTCGGCTACACTGTGACCGTAGCCTGGTGTTGAGCTTGGACACGTGTTGCTCTTCGTTTCTATACTAGGATTTATTTAACTGTGCGTTTCAAGTAAATCAATTGTTTACTGTTTCATCCAATAGCGAGCTTGAACATCGCCATCGTGACGTCACTGTCGCGACATATGAGCTCCCGATTTGATGAAACCATCAACAGTTTATAACCGCCAGACGCACGACTAAACAAATCGTACTGTAGGTGCAGTACCAAGATTCTGTTTTCTATTTAATGAGGAAATAAACTTTGGTTGCTACACTCGGTCGAGTTTAGGCATGGAAAATCGTCTAGGTGCATGGAACCGAAGATTGCGAATTCGAATTTCGCTTAATGCATTATTTTTCGTTATGTGATTGATATACTTGCATTCTTATACCATCACATAACATATGATTTCGTTAATACCTGCATTCTTTTACCATCACGTAGCCATGTGAATCATATCCCATCCACAATCATTCGCCTTCTCATGATAATCCCCTCTCGTACAGTGGAACAATAGGCCATCACTATGGTCATCTGTCAGGTAAACAAAGGTCATAATGGCGCAAGCCTCCTCCATTGCCTATTCACCACTAATGAATATGATCCTTCATCATAATATTTATTTAAGTACATATATTCGTATATTCGGAGATTTTTGTACGTGGCAGTCTCGTCATGCAGCATAAGCTTGTACATGAGACAAAGCTACTTGAGCGAGAGGGCCTGAGAATATTTAACTGCGCCTATTTTCTTCATAAACACACAGTATTTTGTCACTACTGTGTGAAATTGCAGCCTTCGATAATGATCTAATGAAAATGAAGTTCAGACTAACAATTTACGCATTTCAACAGTCGGCTTCTCATCGTCTAAACTGAATGATGGTCTATCGCGTCATTTAGTTTTTCGATAATCATTTTCACTTCTGTGAAGTAAGATTTTTCACGAACAAATATTACATTGCAGAGAAAAGAGACTTCTTGTCTGCAGGATTGACACTATCCAAGATCTTCCGTTCCTTCAGCGTGTCTAAAGGTAGACATTAGCATGTTGATTGTTCTCGTTAGATTTGTACTGGAGATCTGTATTGTATGACAGGACATGACTTTAAATGTCGCCATCATCGTGATCAGCCCTGTCAGATCAGCTTCAGGCAATACGTGCCTTCATCACCTAAGCGTGGTTTGGTTTCTGTTTTACAAATAATTCTACTACTGCTGTAAATGTCGAGAGATCGATAAAGAATGATAAGATAAGTGATTCTCCGGATTGAATCTCTGAGAAATTGAAAACACTGACGTAAGAAAAGAATCGCGGCTAGAAAGGATCATTAGAATGCAAAGCTGCAATTGCAGCTGGATGCACTCCCGGAGCTGCATGTGATAGTGCATTCGCAGAAAGGAAGACACGCAAAAGGAGACCAAGGAGAAGTTAGATGAGCGTATTGTTGCTGATGACGAAACATGTTGGAGAGTAAAAGTTGTAAGAGTTGGATTGCGGAAAATTATAGAAGCTTCTGACGTTGATGACGACATGAAGGTGTGTTTTTTATACTGTATTAGTGTCCCTTGGCAGGCAGTACTTTTGAAGTAAAATTTGTTCTATATTATTTTGTATTATATGATCTATATGACTTTTTTTTCCGACAGTAGAAATTACCATGTTGGACTTTTTCCTTCTTTTTAATTCTGTTCGCTCCCTTATCTTCTAAGCACACCATTCGTTATTGAAAGTTTGGAATCCCCACGTACGAATACTGGAAGTGGTGCCAAGACTAAGGTTTTGGATGATGAATAATGGGCCGTTGAGAGTAACATTCCTCCACGACCTGTTCGACCCTTATGAATGAATGAAACAGAATTCAGAATGATCGCACCATTGACTGTGGTCAATTCTGTGCGTACTCTGCGGCAATTGTCTGAGAATTATCTCGGGAATCTCAAGAAAGAGCAGAAATTAAGTAAATCTAAAAGTTCGGCGTTTTCGGGACATCCGAAGCTCGCGTTTACGACGCCTTAATGCGGTCTGCAAGGCCCGGACGCGAGTTGTGTTTTTTCTTTGTCAAACAACTACAGTATGCGGTGAATGGAACACGGGGAATGGATTAAGAACTGTGTATGTATACTGTATTTACGTGAGGGAAGCGTATTAAGAAAAGCCGTTTGTTGATCTCGGTGGTAAAAGTGTTGAAAAGGCGTTGCTGGGCTCAAAGGTGTTTTCATATGTTAATCGCGGAGACTGTTGACCTGAGCCTACCCGCCGAGCAATGCAGAAAAAAAAGAAAAGAAAAAAAAGAATTGTCCGTGTAAAATTACCGATTGTTTTGCTAAGCAGCCTAGACGCAGCTACTTTCACATGTACAAGATTTTGAATCCCCAACAATTACAGATCGCACTATACAAGTGTTGTATTATGTGCTCATAATAAACCAACAACAAAAGAACAAGAAAAAAAACTTGCAATCGTCACTCCGCCTGCCGGCATTTGACATTGCGCCAGACGCGACCTTCGGCCTAGCAAGGATTGCGCTTACGTTTATGGTGCTGAGCAGAAGATGCGTACGAAGATGGCGTTCTCGAAGCGCGTGGTTGTCATGCTACGTGAGAATAACCATTATAGAATCACGACTCTTGATGAATAATAAAATAAAATTGGTTCACCGGATTGGTCATTGTGAGTAAAGAAACAATTAGTTGTGCCAACGTTTCGAAATATTTAATTTCTTCATCAGAGCTAGGTTATAAAAACAAATGAAACTTTGATGGCTTGAAATGAGACTTTACTTTTATGATTATTAGTAAGGTGTGTACTTTCTATATTTGGGTGTTTTGTTGGTCATAGTTTATAATTTTTGTTGTTTGTGTAGTGTAAATTAATAAATGAATCAATGTATTGAAATGTTTGTTGTCCTCGTGCACTGTTCATTTGTTTTTATAACTTAGCCCTGATGAAGAAATTAAATATTTTGAAACGTTGGCGCAGGTCATTGTTTCTTTACCCACAATGACCAATCAAATGAACCAATTTTATTTTGCTACGTGAGAAGTTGCCACTCGGTATTTGTCTTTTTTATGTTTAAGTTATTTTGCCATCAATTTAAAAGCTGTTTTTGAAACTCCTGAAAAGATTTCGCCCTAGAGGAACTGATTAATAAATCTAATCGAAGCATTAAATTTCCCGACGGAAACCTATCATTTTATAATCATATTTAAGACAGGAAAGAAATCCAAAGAGAAAATCTATAACTTCCATGTATTGAATTTCTTTTTCTCGTAATCGTTTGTGGCAGAAAAAACGATATGGGCGCATTTTCACAATCCTTTTTCTCAAGGAAGATCGACCAATCACTTCATTCATTGTATTTATTTGGCGTTACTAAAAAGTCTCACGTCGACTACCCTTAGTAACAACAACCCTATTATAATTTTCCAAAGAGAGTATGTTTCTTATTTGTCTCTAAACACGAACTTACTTAGCGATCTCAATTATATACTTATTGTAAATTAGAAATGCTAAATGCATTTTTTTCTATCAGTAATCGAAGTTTCAGAATGATTAATTATGTTTTCACATTTCTTGCTTACAATTCGTGCAAAGCAATCAGAAACTCGCCAAATAATGTTCTCTTTACATCTGAGTGTCGACGCGGGAGAAGAAAATCTGATTCGTTCTGAACTTTTGAAGTCATCGTCAATAAGCCATATTACAAAAAATGCTGCATGCCGTCCTGCAATGCGCCTTGATTTCCTGTTCGGACTCGGAGCATTTTCCAATCTGAATAAATCCTCTCCGTTTGTTCAGATTACTTTGTAAATGTCTTCTGTGGTGCTCACGCAAATGATGTACAGGGTTTTAATATTTCCCTTTTTTTTGTTTCAGGTGAGTTTCCAGAAGCTTGGGATGAATTGTGTCTGACGTCGGCTGCGGCGTTTTTGTAAGTAATGTAATAACTCTTGACACTTAAAACCTAAGATGAAATCAAGGAGCAGGCATGTAAAATATTAAAATGTTCATATAATTCATGTAGACTCATTACGTAAGATATTTGTCGTCTCAAGACATATGCTAGATGATGAGAAGACATCATGTATTTGCGAAAATATAGTTTCCCTTCGCAGGTACAATATTTTGCGACAATTATTTGTCACAGTGTCGACACACAAGTGATGAATGAAACTTTATGGTCATTTCTCGTTATGAAGAAGAAATTAATTCCAAAGAATGTTTACATGATTTCCGTTTTATAAATTGTTTAGTTATTCAACTAAACATTTATGGGAGATTATATATAAACATTAACATAGTATTGATTTTTTATCGAGTAAGTTCATGTTAATGGCTGTGACATCCATTGTCTCCTGCTTATTCACTTAAAAAATAATACTGTCATGTTCTGTTTTTGAAAGCAATCCGATAGTCTAAAAAGTTGTCAAACATGTAGGTAAAAATTCCGTTTCTTTGTCTAGTTAGGAAGTCTTATTTATTCATAGAGTTGTCACAATTTGCAGGCCAAAAATTGCACGTCGTTCGACTCTTTTGCTATTACCTGTCCTGAGAGCAGACGGGTGCACATTTGTCAAAAAAGCTGTCAAAAATTATCTACAACCTTTTCTTTAAGTTTGTACGCAATTAAAACTTTAAAATGTCAGCCTTTTTTTTTATTTTGCTTTGTTATTTCAATGGGTAATGCCTTTACTTCCCCCTTAACTCAGCGTTGTTTAATCGGTCCTGAGGTAAACGGTGCAAACATTCACGCGGGAGCAGCTTCTGAGAACAACAAAGTGATTACATAAGCTATTAAAAACCGTGAAAAATGTTTAGAATGACAGAAAAAACGAAACCTGAAGAATCCATCGAACTGACGCTTCGTAGCCAGGTTAATAGTTTAAGACATGATAGCTGAAAGTTTGTTTATATGAGATTAGTTTGTAGGTAGCTTGTTTAAGAAGTACCGCTCCTCTTTGCGACAAACGCCGATTTATGAACCGCAGCACGTGCAGATTTTATGCCATTACGCATATAACCCCCATCTTCTGGAGGTTATTTACCAGAGAGAAATGAGGAAAAGAGAAGAGAACAAAGAAAAACAACGTTTAAACGATTCAAATACAGCTGGAAAAGAAAAAAAATAAGCAAAAAAACGAAAAAAGAAAACAAAACAAAACAACAACAACAAAAGAAGGCCGCTCGCCCAGGAACTTCGCCCGGGGGAAGTGCGCTGCGTCACCGCCGCGTGCCCTATCTACTTCCGGCGCCGGCCGCATCGTCGCTGTCGTCGCCGCCGTGCAATTGTCTCCGCGTGCACGACCTTGTGCTTCGGCGCGCCGTGCGCATCCCGGCGCGTGCGCGTGACTCCAGATGTGTAGTCTTTGCCCTGCTCCGCGCGTCCGAGGTCAGAGGCCCTGGAAAATGACGATCGGCTGCGTCGACAGTTCCGAGTGTTCGTGATTCTGTACGGGCGTGTGGACGAGAGCAACTCCCCCCCCCCCTAGAAGACCCTCGCTTCCGCTAGAAATACAATATCGTGTGACGTATGATTAAGCTGCTGGCGTAGCAGATGATAGTGTTAATACGTCGTAACATATGACAATTGTGTAAAGGCAAAGACTCTTTAGCGCATTATTATAAGAAGAATTATCGCCCTTGCTTTTAATCTTGTCCACCAAACTTAGGGCTAAATTAGGAAGATTTTTTAGAATGTAAATGTTTTAAATTTAAAATAATCGTGGAGCCAAATGGTACAAAGTTATCATTGACCGTTTATAGCGTTTTGAAACACAATCCCAAAATATATAAATGTTATGTTATCAAATAAGATTCATACCATTGAATTAACATTGTTTTAAATATTTAAAAAAAATTTCTTTCATCCTAAGTCTAAATTTAGAATAAGAATGATAGTCTTTATTATAAGAGGATAGCTGCAGATAAAACTATTAGATAAACAATAATCGTTTTCTCTCCTTCTAATTAAGAATAATTCCAAGGATTTCTATAGATTTGGAAAAAAACAATTGAGCTCTTGTCTAAGTTTACGAAAATTTGTCATTAGGATTTGAGGAACCGCGAAAAACATTTCAACAGTTTCTCGTATCATATCGTCGCAGTTCAAAATTAATCAGCGCTTAGTCGCAGTAGTTTTCCTCTCATTTAAGTTGATCTCCTTGGGCTCAAGTGGAAGATGAGCTTCTATTAACAGTGTCACGTTTCAGAGAAGTTTCAAATATCTGTGCGGATATCCAGTTCCAACCGGTGAAAACATGATATAGAACAAAGCACTCTTGCAATTGTTTTCAAAACGTATTTAAAGAATATAGCTAGAGAAAGTGAACTAGAAAAAGAAGACTGATGGCCAAGAGCGTGTTTACGTGTTCCTTAATTACACTTGATTTTTCTTGACATTTGGGACTGTTCCTCGACGCCTTGTACTCGTATATCTACGAAAAGAAACAAAATGTTTTTGGTGATAATTATTTTCTTTCTGAAAGATGTGATAAATAAAATACTTCTGATACAAGGCAAATGTAAAGACACACAAGTATTTTTTCGAAATTTAATTTTTTATCATTGACCCATATTGACTCAAAGAATATGTTCTTGACAGTCCTTCGCCGGTTCCTTGAACAGTGTGTGTGTAAGTACTGGTTTATCGGTATCAAACCAGGCAAATTTTTCGTTATTTTTTTCAAACCAGGCACGTACTTTTTTTTCTCGTATTCACCTTCAAATTGGGTATTTGTGATTGTACTTTTTTGCACTGTTTAGTAATTTCTGAATTTATGCCTCATTTTACTCGTATTGAAGTAGAACATGCCGAAACATGTTATGTCGATAGCACCAATAGGCCGAAACACACAGATCCAAAGATTTGTGTTTTAGGACACACTGCAAATACGCGAAACAATACTACGAAGACCCCTCTAAAAAATGGCTCCCTGTAACGTTTTTTAGTATTTTATTTTATTTTTAAAATGTATGTTCATAAATGTTGTATATTTTATTAACCATACACAAACTTAATAAATGTATTAAAAAGGAATTCAGGATTTAAAACAAATAGAAAATGCATTTCTAAATTGCCTCTTTGTTAAGTATGTTTTATGTTTGAATATTATTCAAACATAAAGTCGCATCGTTTGGTCGTGCTTAGAGCCCTTTGAGATAGTAATCCGACCCTTTTCCCTTTTCGAATATTGAGCGCCAGCGCAGTCTGGTGGAGAGCACGGCGTTGGCGGCGCCCCCTCCACTCGCGTGCGCAGTCGCCGCACGTCGCGCCCCGCGCAGACGCCGCCTGGGAGCAGACGGGGCTTAATTTCGGCGCCGCTCTCTACCTGGCGCGCGCACCAACTACCGCCCCGCCCACCCCGCCGCGTACCACCTTGTCCAGTCCCGTCCCACTCCACTCCGCCCCGGCGCCACGCCCCGCCGCCGCCGCCGCGCCTGCCCTGCGACCCATCTCGCCTCCGCCCTTACCCGCTCCGAGACAGTCCCCGCGGCCCAGCCGCCGCCGCCTT